CCGTATCATCAACTCAGCGTCGTTTCGTCGCCGGCCATAGCCCCCTAATGGCGCAGCACGCCCTGCGGAAATTGCCGACGTGGCGGCGAACGAAGAACCCCGAAATTCCGAAGGCCCAACTCAAACACGCAGCGGCCTGCGCCACGTGGCGGCCTCCGACGGCACAACTTTTTGGGACCACCTCCTCCGCGGAGGGACTTCCCCGTAAGCCTTCGCCCACAGTACTCAGGCCCCGTCGGGCCTTGAGTCCCTTGTGCACGCGCCCCTTATTTGCCTAATTGCATTCATACCCCCAAGTTTCCCCCACTTTCCCCAGAAATCCTTGGCACACCCCTTTTCGCACTTCCAGGCCCACATCCCAGTCCGATCAGGAAGTCGTGCTGGGCGTGAGGTTGGGCGTCACAGTACACTAGGAAGACTGTTTGGATTTCACGAGCTTGAAGTTTCTTTTTTTTTTTTTTTTTTTTTTTTTTTGAAAAAAAACCCGAATAAATGCTAGGGGTGCTGATAAGAGCAGACACCGCTAGCATGCTCGGGGAGGCTCCATTATTTGGTGGGGAGCAGCACCTGCTGGAAAGCGGGTCCAGCGTCCCTGTAAACAACATAGTTCATATAAACATGCCACGCGTCCGTCGTACTATGAGCCTGAGTGGTAATGAGACGACACGTAGGCACGCACCTTGAAGCCTGATGAGCAGCATTGATTGCCCTCGACAGAGGGGATTAACTGCCCATCTCATTGTAAAGTCGTATCCCTACTACGAACATGCCCTGTGTCCCTCGAACTATAATCCTGAAAGGAACTGAATCGACACGTAGGCATGCTCCTTATAGCCTGATGAGCAGTAATGATTGCCCTCAACTGAGGGGATTAACTACCCACCACATTCTGAAGTCGTATCCCTACTCAGAAACCCTCATCATATTCTAAAACAACTCAGAAAAGACTCTTGCAGCACCATGAGGGGAAGAGGCAATCYGAGTAGGGTGATATCAAACAGAAACATACCACGTGTCCATCCTACGTATAAACATGACCGGTGAACGGAACCGACACGTAGGCACGCTCATTAATCTGATGAGTAGCATTGATTGCCCTCAACCGAGGGGCTAACTAACCCTAATCTGAAATCCTCATCTTCTACTTCAAAGCTTCTACAGCACGGCGAGGAGGAGAGGCATTCACACCAGGTAGGTAGAAGATCAATTATAACGAATCTCTGGACAAAGTTTGATTGCACTATTTCGCTGCGTCACGACGGCAGGACAGAAATGAATCACATGGGCAGCCCTGATATCTAACAGCACTTCACATCCTGCCTTGTCACGTGGAGAAAACTTATTTTCATAGCAAAAGAGAGTATTCCCCCGACTATCCTGATCAACCAATGGTTAAAAACTCAAAGACTAGATACGGTGAAGCCAACCCCTCACCTGCAACCTGGCTGATCCAGCRTTCGCTATCCTACCCCCTCACGCCACTATCCCACTCCCCACACCCCCACACCGCCCTCCTGTTTGCTGAGCACTCCATTCGGCTGACCCTCTCGCCCGTCTCCCCAATCAACGCCAGAATCACACGAAAAGGAAAACAGGAAGGAAGGGAAGGGGGGGGAAGAAAAATGACCACATGCATATACTTCACCATATCTGCCGATATTGTTATTGTTGTAGATATCGTTGCTCCCTGCCGCGCACGAACACCGCTTCCTTCTGTCCACGGCACTGCCGTGTGCAACCTCCTTGTTGATGCTCGTAGCCTGTGTAGATACCAGCGGCACAATCACAGGCATGGTGTAGTTGTTGCTGTTGCTGTTCATGGCTTGTGAAGAAATGACCGAGCGGGTCACAGGCAATATTGGCTTGTTACTGTTGTTGTTCTTGTCGTTGCTGTTGTTGTAGTTGTTGTTGTTATTGTTGTTGTTCTTGTTGTTGTTGTAGACATCGGCGAGGCGGGCGAGATCGTTATCGTCGTTGCTGTTGGTCATGATGGCGTCGTCGGCGATGGTGTTATTATCCTGATCGTCTCCAGCATTGGTGTAATTGGCCAGATCGTCTTCCACGATATTATCAGCATCATCGTACCATCGATCTTCCAATGCAGCGCAGAGAACTTGCCCCTCCTCAAGCTCCTCGTAGAAGCATCGCATCAAATCGCGCGATCGTGGCCCATCAATACACGCTTTCAAACAGGGCGGTGGCCCCCCCTCCACCCCCCATGTAATCTCCATCATGCTTCGCTGCTTCCTCGGGGTCCACGTGAGCGACGGCGTCATCTTTTCGGCCGCCGCAGATCGCAAGGTCACCACCACCTTGCTTAGACACGCAGTACTAACTTGGATGGTACCAAGCCACTTGAAGTTTTATTTAAAAGCGCTGTTATTAGATTGAATGCCTCAGGGCCGCTGGACCCGGTTTGCAGCACAAGCCTAAACTGTGTAATGGCCCCAGATTTCCGGGTTGTTTGTGAGGAAGTCCCGACCTCTATCCATGTTTGCAATTAAAAAAAAAAAAAAAAACCCAATCACTGAACACTGGCCCAGTTCATAAATCTGGTGCAGAAACCGTGCCAGTTTCATTGTCCCATTATAGCAGGCCAATCGATCTGTCACCCAAGCCGCCTTTCAACCAAGGGAAAGTTCTTTGGGCCTGTAGTACCAAACAGCTGGGTGGGGAGTAGGTAAGGGACGCAGGATCCGGTTTCCAGCTGGTTCTTTCCTCTCCGGATTGAATTGTGAGGTCCCCGGCCTCCTTCCTATTTTTCGAAATGAAATGATACTCTTTCCCAAAAACAAAACAAAAAAAAAAAGAACCAAAAAAAAAACAAACAGCCCAACATTGGACTCCAAACCAAAGAAGGTCTCGGCTTGGGCGCTTTCCACTAATTATCCCTGAAAATACCCCCCTTATCCCTGAAAATACCCCCCGTCGCTTAGTGCCGGCTTGGGCGCATAGTGCCGGCCCAGGTTTTTTCTGGCGCGTAAAACCAAAAAGGTTTCTGAACTCGTGGCCTAGGCTCAGTTGGTAAGGCACGCAAGTCACATTCAGGAGGTCTTGGGTTCAATCCCAATTCGCCTCATGTACCTTCCTGGGCAAGCTTGGCGCCCGCCACCTAGAGATATGCGGTTGGTCCCCCCAGTGGCATTGAGCAGAGACTGCTGATGTTCATAGGGGGAGGGGACCGGAGGGGAGGCACAGTGACTGGCCCATCGAAGAAGCTCGGTCCTGATGCTACCGGCTGACCCCTGGCCGGCATCGCCCACCTGCTGTAGCAGGTATCGCACCTGCTGGTGGGTGCAGCCCCCGCATGTTCCCTCGTTGGAGGCTTGAGCACGGATGTGGCTGCTACGGGCCCGTAATACTAGAATGACACTAAAAAAAGGCCTGAAAGGCCGTCCTGTCCAGATTTGACAGGTAATTGAATTGGTTGGGCTTAAAGAATTAGCCCCTTAAACAAAAACAGAGGGGAAGTAGCGGGGCTTCCGCGTTTTCATCACAGCGTGTCGTTTTCCCTGGGCCCATAGTTTTTTTTTTTTTTTTTTTTTAACGCTATATTCTTCTCTCAATTTCACCTCACACTACATACCACTACTCCTAATTGTAGGCATATGGGGAACCCCGTAGCAGCCAGAACCGCATTCACGAGAGAACATGCGGGGGCTGCTCCCGACCTGCAGGTGGGCGATACCGGCCAGGGGACAGCCGGTAGYATCAGGGACCATGCCAACAGGACCAATACCTGTGCCTCCCCTCAGGTCCCCTCCCCTATGAACATCAGCAGACTCTGCTAAATGCCAATTGGGGAATCCAGTGGTCTATCTCTAGGTGGCGGGCGCCAAGCATGCCGAGGAAGGTACATGAGGCCAATGGGGATTGAACCCACAACCTCCTGAATGCCACTTGCGAGCCTTACCAACTGAGTTAGGCCGCTGGATCGCATAGTTTTTTTGGGGGGCGCACAAACCAAAAAGGTTTCAGCGTGGGCGGGCCTCACCGGCACTGATGGTTCAACTCATGCTTTGGGCGTCGTCCAGCTCCCCTGAGCGGCAGGTAGGGCAGCTATTGAAACGTTCCATGGTTCTCTCTTTTCTAAGCTGGGAGAATTACGAGACCTATCTTGCAATCATGCTAATGGGTCTCTAGCAATACAGTACCTGTACTACCTGATCTGTCATCATGGACCTGCAATCAGAGCTGATGTAATTATCATTGTGAGGATGCTGTACATAGACACGTCGTGTGATGCATAGTTTGAACGAATCGCAGACTTCAAATGTGCCTACCCTGGGCCTAAATAGACAGCCAACCACCCAAAGCTCAGTTGGTTAATCATTCACTGCTGAAATATAGACCCTAGTTCGAATCCAGATGCAATCAGGTTAACAGAACTCTGAATAACCTCGTGCCGGTCAGGCCAATGATGATGATATTTCAAGGCCATCGCCCTTTCCGGAAAAAAAACAACAAACAAACATACGAATAGCCTTAGGAGTAGTGGTAGGTAGTGAAAAGAAAGATATGTTCCATGACATGGCAGGTGAGAGAGAAATATATGGCTGTCCCCCGATGAGGAGAAGGCAGCAAAAAAAAGAAAAACAAAAAGAAAAAAAGAAATAAAAAGAAAGAAAGAAAGAACGAATGAAAGGTGAAAAAAAGAATTTGAGAGAAAAACATAGTGTAGTTTAAGATATAAAATAAAAAAAAGAAAAACAACAGCCAAATGCAGGTGAAGCACCTCCCTTCGGCTCACCCTACCATCTTCACCCGAATAGAACGCCCGGTTCTATTCGGGTGAAGACGCTAGAGGCAGGTACACTTTCAGACTTCCAATGACCCATTTCGGGCACCACGTTTCCACAGTTGCCTACCTATTTCGGCTACTTCGCTTCGAAAGCCAATCATATACCACAGCGGCACAGCCATTGGCACGGTCTTAGCACGTCGTAGTTTCCCGCTCTCATGTCCCTTTGATAACCCGTTCTGAAAGCATAATCATATGTAATTGGAAATCAAATTAAGCTTAGGCGATCCAGACACACAGTATTATAGGGGCAAGAGGTGAGAAACTGACCGCAAGGAAGTGGTGATGACTCTTGACGACAGCTCGACGCCTCTCCTGGGCTTCGCGAAGGCCATCACAGGCCTCGGCTATTCTGATCATGTTTGCATGCGTGACGTCAACGACGGCAGCATGAGACAAAGACACCTCCAATTGGTCGCGCACTTTGTCGATCAAAGCGAGATCGGAACCGTGCCACTTCCTTCCTCTGCCAGCGGGCAGCACGAATACCAACACGCCAATAAGAACCTCGCTCGGGCATCTTGCCCAGCACGCTCATTCGAGATCCCCTCCTCCGCTGCGGCCGCCATCGCCAAATCTTGGTCATCCTTCTTCCCCTCATACGTAGCTTCCTCTTCTATCTCAACAATCCCAGTTTCCGAGACGCTCTGACTTTTTGACCCCCCTACAGGTTGGGCGGACCCCGATGACGACGGCGGCACCTCTAAACCTGACGTTTCGCAGGAAGGACCTCCGGAAGCAGCGTCCGTGATCGGCGTACGGTTCTCCCTCTTCTCCGGTCTGCCGCACAGTGAGACCCTCGGCCTGTTCCAACCCATAGACTGAGACGATGATCGCGACTGAGCTCCGGTCTGTCTCTCGGCGGCCATAGACTCAGAAAATCCAGCCGGAGCTCCCGTCCGCGAGGTTCGTGGAACAGCCACAAAACCAGCGCCACTTTCAACACTTGTACTGGCAATCGAGCTGCTGCCGCTCTGCATCTGCCACTCTCTATCTCTCACAACAGCCGGAATGCCGCCACCTTCGGAATGTGGAAGCTTGATCTCGCCTGTCCCCGCGCATCCCTGCGACGCTCTTCCGGGACCACCTTCCGCCTCCAGAAATCCATAACGCCGTCGTGTTCCTTGTTCAGATCTGGACGGCAGCGCATTTTCAGCACCGTTAGGGTACGACAATCTCACACGAATACGCGCTGCGGCTATCAGATCCTCTTCCTGCGTTGATGACAAACGTCTAGCAAAAGAACGTCCTGGAGCACGGGAACCTCCGCGATGGAGAGGAATTCCAGGAGCCGCAGAGCATCCCAAAGCCGCAGACATTCCCGCGCGTGCAGAGCTTCCCAACGCTGCAGAACTTTGTGGATCAATTAAATGAGGTACGGCGTCGTAACGGTGCAGTACACTGTCCGAAGTGCTCACCGTGATTGCTCGTTGCTCACTGAGAGCCTCTTGTACCACTGGATCGTTCCTTGGCACCACCCTCTTAACCATTCTCCTGTCAACAGAGGCGACATGTCCTGTTGACGGATCCATTTCGTCGGCCCGAGCTTCATGAGTGATAGCCAACTCATCACTGTCGGACGTCGATGGGGCGACGAACACGGAACAAGACAGCGATAGGACCTTAGTCAATCCCTCCAAGGCCGTCATTATAATCGTATCGCGATCCAAAGAGTCGTGTATGTCATTGCAAAGCAATCGCAAATTCTTGCAAAACTCCTCTTGTGTACGGAAGTCGTACAATTCATGCCGAAGATGCTCAACCTGCAAAACGACAGACACAAGTCACAATATGCACCATCGCAGAGGTTATTGACACGAGATGCTGATATGCACCTGACCGCTTTGGCTCAAAAGGGAAATGTAACTGTTCATAACACAAAAATCACGCGCTCGAGTCTCGTGAAGTCTGACGAATACCATAAGGATGCCGGGCACTACCCCATTTTGAGAGAGAGAGAGAGAGAGAGAGAGAGAGAGAGAGAGAGGGAGAGAGAGAGAGAGAGAGACAGAGAGAGACACAGAGAGAGAGAGAGAGAGAGAGAGAGAGAGAGAGAGAGAGAGAGAGAGAGAGAGAGAGAGAGANGAGAGAGAGAGAGAGAGAGAGATCCGATAAGGTCCTAAGGTAGCAGGCTCGATGCAACATTATGATGTCACTGAGGATTCACAACCACCATCTACAACCACATCGCCATAGTCGTCGATGTAACGAGTCTACACGGCCACACAATACCTGCAGTGGAAGGATCCCCCAAAGAAACTCACTACAGAATGGTGAAGAGAACTCAGTGCACGCTGTTCCGTCTTAGATGCCCAACAGGTCTGCGAGGACGACATGGACGGAAAGGGCGCGGGTTCAACACTCCATCCCAGTAAGGCAGCACATCTCCTTGAAATCCTTCGTGCAGGCTAGATGCAGCTCGACAATACCCAACTGAATCACTGATCAATTCCAACCGGGTTTCCCTGTTCTCTGATTATCACGACAATGCTAGGCCCCCCCCCCCCCTCTTTCAAGACGGTAAAGAAAGACAACAAAAGAGAGAGAGAGAGAGAGGGCACAGCAGAGTCACTGCGATGGGTAGCAAAGAGGATGAACTTGGATTTTTGCTACATATCCTCTTGTCTGTTGCCCATTTAATGCCAATGCGGGAAAATATACACACGAGAAAAAAAGGGTTGTGATGGGTTTCGACGGGAATGAGGCCTTACATTCTGTCGAAGACGGATTCGTTGACTGATGAGCTCGAGCAGGGAAGGAGCATCACGCACGAGAACGGCGGCGATGGCAATGGCCAATATGGCCGTGAGGATTGTCAGCACGATCACGACCAACTGAAAGGATTACTTGACCAAATGCAGCAAACCATACGAAAGAGTGCCCCAACCTACGGCGAAAACCACTCGGCGCGCACCCGCACTCAGAGGCGGCGTATGTCGCCCATACGACACGATCGTCAGCGACATGAGTAAACACCCCAGACCAATCACCACATCGGAGACTAGCTGGGTCCACCTCAAGCCGTCATCGGGGGCCAAGGAATCACCCCCTGAGGCTATGCCAGCGATGAACGGCGCCAAGAACCCAAGGCCAAGAACGCTACCCACGTCGTTGTTTTGACCGGCAAACTCCGAGCACGAAGGCGGCAAGCACGCAAATTGCGGCGCAGGAGAAGAACTCGCAACGCCGGCTACCTCCATGGCCGTCGACATGGTCAATCACCACGGTTAGTCTTGTCTTGGAACGTAATTCCGTGCTTGGCAATGTAATTAGACGCGAGGAATTACGAAAGGCAAAACCCTACCCGCGAAACTTCAGTCTCCCTGAAACGTACACGAAGTCGCTGACTCTAGAGATTGACTCGTTAACTACAGCTTTGGTTGGCTAGCAAGATCTTGTTAATCCGTCGCTGGAGTTGACTCGCTCACTAGAGATAGTGTAAACCCTGCTTGTTAACCACGATTATCGACGACTCAGCGAACAAGAAAAGAAGACGAGCACGAAGAGAACGCAGAAGCAGCAGAGTCTAAAGCCTCAGCATTCGCTGAAACCGACATAGCACAAAAAGAAACAGGCGGACTTCTTCTCCCACGACCGATACTGTAAACTCTGTTTGTTAACCACGATTCCCGACGACTCAGCGAACCAGAAAAGAAGACAAACACGAGGACAACACAGAAGGGGCACAGTCTAAACCTCCAGCGTTCGTTGAAACAGACATAGTACAAAAAGAAACAAGCGGACTTTGGTCGGGTTGAAGTTTTTCTTTCCCGCACTCCGAAGAAGAGTGGGAATCAAAAGCTTAGATGGCGGAGCTTCACTCGCACATCCCGAAATATCACCAGTTTACGGACGGGCTTAGCTCGCAGTTGGTAGACCTATAAAGTGTTGAAATGGAGAGCTGAGTTCGAATCCAGATGGAACCAGATGAACGAAATTCCTGAAGTATCTGGGGCTGGTATCTCAAGCCTGTCCCCCTTTTAGAAGAAAAATAAAAAATCAAAAAGGAAAAAGAATCACCAGCCCTAACGGCACTCAGGCCGTCAGGCCCTTCGGCACGATACGGAGAAGATTGGCATGGCCCCTGCGTGCAAGGGCGACACGCAATGGTCCCATTGACAAAAAAAATAAAAAAATAAAATCAAGTTAAGCACGATACAGAGAAGATTGTCATGGCCCCTGCGTGCAAGGACGACACCCAATGGTCCCATTGACAAAAAAAAAAAAAAAAAACAGCAACAACAACAACCAGCAAAAAACGTCAGCATGTACTACGACTGACACTATACGTCCCGGGCATGGAGAAGCCTAAACGAGAAGAGCGTTATTTTCGATTAACCATCTTATTCTTCATTAACCAGTAAATCGCTCTAAGGCTCGACGAGCTGGTTATTTTCCATTAACCAGTAACTCGCTGCAAGGCTCGACGAGATGTGCCATCGCTCTTTCACAATGACGTGATGGTCTGCGCACGCCACGCCAGTCAACGACACGCACGGGAGTCAACGATACACATTTCACTAAAACGGCATCTGCGTCTCAGAATCGGTAGCCAACCCGCGGAAAACCTAGAAAGGCGACGTGCTCTCCTTCGATTCTACCGTTCGACTCAGAATCGCTGCCCTAGTAGTCGTTGCCTCTGTGGCTGAATTCGGTCGAATTGGCAAGTTAACCCTTGGGATAATTGGTGGAAAAAGCCCACGCCAAATCCTTTCTGGTTTTGGGCGCCTGAAGTTGCGCCGTTTGGTACTACATGCCCAGAGCTTTCCATCCGTGCCTCAAGAGGAGCAGCGTTGACCGGACCGGACGACGAACCGTGATGATGCGACGGTATCTGACTCTGCCTAAAGTTAAGTATCCTAATTCTGGAGTCGGGCCTACAGCAGCGTTTCTTTGCTGTCCGTTTTGGCGCTTTGTGACGGCTTCGCGCAACGGGATCCTGCCAAATCAGTCGAGGGAGGCGGTTGCAGCGACAGCCATGGTTGTGGCTAGTCCGCTCTGTGACGTGACAAATTTTGATTTGATTGATTCTTTTGTTCAACAGTGAAAAAGCCTGCCTGTGTTGTGATCAGTTTAGTATCTGAAAAAGTTTAGTATCTGAGCCGCAAACACCTTTCTCGCCCTAAAAATAGATCAACTGTAGTGTCTGTTCTCATCTGTCTAGTTTAGGTTTTTTTTTTTTTTTTTTTTTT